ACAGGCAGTGCCGCGACGACAGGCGCGCGGGGATCGGGGCACCCCTGTTGTCCCTGACGGACTGGAGAGCCCTCCAGATACTATCTCAGTTTTTCGGGCCTGGAGTGCCCATCGGCGCCGCCTCTGCCTCGACGCGACCTACTGCGTCCTGCGCAAGCGCTACTTCTACCAGAACGGGACAGCCTCCTTCGGACCGACAAGACGCAGGCGGCACCGGCTTCGGGCTTCAGCTCGTCCTCGGGCTCTACTTCTTCCACATCTCCCAGCGGCTCTTCTTCTGCCCCATCCTCCAGCACCTCTTCGCGAAGGCGCCGCGCCGCGACGGCGGCGCCTTCAGCCAGTCCAACTACTCCGGGCGCAGCGGGTAGCTACACCTGTTGGAATGCACGGGGTCTTCTCTGACATGATGAGTGCAAGCGTTGGGGGAGATCGGCGGCTCACGCCCTTCGTGCGCGCTCGGGCTCTGATAGCATTGCAGGAAGTGCGCGGCTCTCAACTTGATCTGGAATCTCACATCGGCAAGCTCCCATGCGACTACCAGGTCTACTTCAGCGGCTGCCCCCTCAACCGCGGCAGCGGGGGAGTAGCTGTTCTGGTACCGGCGCCTACCTCGACTACTACTGCGACCTTGCTGCGGCCTGTCACGCGTGGCCGCGCGGCAGTTCTTGGCATGTCGAACCGCGCCGCGGGCTTCGAGGCGCTCGTCATCAATGTGCATGGCCATGATCTGGCGGCAGCGGACATGGATGGAGCGGCAGAGGCGCGGCGCGCCTGCATCAGCTGAGCAGCGACAGCCCCGCAACAGCGCCTCTTCCTTGTCATGGGGGCTTCAACGCCAGCCGCCCCCTCCTTCAACTTCAGGGATCCATCTGCTCGCTGGCGGCCGATGGGACCTGATTGACAATGGCAGCGCGACCGGGCACTGCGGCGCCAACTCTTCGCCTCGCCCACGGAGATCACGCGCGACCTGCCCGCGCACTTCTCGGCCAACACTCAAGCGGCTGCGGCAATAGACCGCGCGATCATTTCCCCCTCTCGGGCATGGGCTCGGCGAGCGCGGGCGCGCATCTGAAGATTCACAAAGATGGAGCGGCCGTCACTGTCAAAGGAATCAGCGATCATGCCATTTTACATTTGCGTCTAGTCATCGCGTCAGCAGCACGACCAGAAGAACGAGCCATCGACCCGATCATCTTTGACGACCCCACGTGCCAGCGCCATTTCAATTTCCTGAAAGGGCAACATCGCCAAGGCTGCGCTCGCGCCTACGGCGGCTTGGAAACAGCGCAAACTCATGATCAAAGAAGCGGCGAGACTCATCGCAATCTCGAATAGCGCGCCTCACTCCAAGTCCTCAGCCGCTGGGCGAGGCACTGCAGGCTTACGACGATGCGTGCAATTTCACGTGGAATCTGGCGGAAGGACTCGGACACGGCAGCACTGCTCATCGCCGCCACCGAGATCGGCGGCTCGCACCTCAGCGTCGCCAGCGACGGCCCCGAGCTCACGAACAGGAACGAGAATATCAACTTGATGGACACAGCGGCCACCGCCGGTTACGACAGACGCGTCACCCTCGCCGCCAAGCGCCAGCTGCAGACCCACTCCGAAGTGCAGATGGACCAGGCTGGCAGTCGGAAGGCCGCGATGCAGCCCACTCGCCGGGCACGTGCCTGGAGTCAGTTTCGGCGTCGTCTCGTTCTCTCAGGACTTTGGGCACCGAAAGAGGGGGCACCAACAGCGAACCTCCCCACCACCCGCTCTCCTGAGGGTATCCTTGGAGGCCTCCAGAAGTTCCGGCAGCCCATCTTCTCGAGCAAGATGCTGGGCCCTGCGGCGGCCCAGCAGATCTTGTCCCAGCACCTTCCCAAGTTCGATTGCGTGGGTCCACGGGTTCCAGGTCTTCTGGACTTTCAGAGGGCCCTCCGCAAGGTCAGACATGCCGCTCCAGGCCCAGATCAAATCACATATGCAGCATGGGCCACCTCTCCTGGATCCTCTCTGAGATCCTTTATGACCTGGCGATGCAGATGTTCGAAACGGGCCTGGCCCCGCACCAGTTCAACGATTCGGTCTTCGCGTTCCTTCCCAATGGTGACGAACCCCAGGGCCAGCGCGCCGTCTTTCGAGCCCCAGGAGCTACCCGCCCCTTCTCGCCGAAGAACTGCGACGCTAAATTGATCGCACATGTCGCGAATGTGGGCTTCGTGGATATGGTCAGGGATCGCACAGCCGACACTCAGCAGGGTTTCGTGAAGGGCAGGAACTTCGGACAACGCGCACTGACGCTCGATTCTGAGGCCCGCAAAGCAGGACGCCCCCCAGATGCCCCATATGCCCTTCCCATTCTTGTCAGCTTTGATATGACAGATACCTTCCCGTCCCTAAGATGGGAGTTTTTGTTTGCTTCCCTGGTTGCCCACGGGGCCCCACCAGGTGATCTAAAGTGTCATCCACGCTCTCTATCAGTCTCCTGGGGCCTGGGCCCGCGTTGGAGGCCGCCTCCAGCACATGTTCGAAATCGGCTCTGGAGTCCTCCAGGGCTGTCCCCTTTTCGGGTTAGCATTTGACGCGCCCATCCGCCACCTAGTCCAGATTTTGAGCACCCTCCCATGGATCCAAAAAGCTCGGAGCCTGTGCAGACGACCTGGGTCTGGTTCTCGCTCGCCTTGGGACCCCGCTCTACCCCCCCCCGTTTCGGGCCATAGCGTCTCTTGCAGGGCCCGGGCTTCAGATCCAGAAGACGGTGATTGTACCCTTGTGGGCAGCCTTTCCACCGGCCGTACAATCTCTCGCGCAGCGCCTTCTCACATTTCTAGTTCCCGAATGGCAGCGCATTCAAATGGCTGAATACGCACGCTATCTAGGCGTGCTCATAGGCCCCGCAGTGACGCTGGACATACAGTGGAAAGCAGCGTTTGACAAGTACTGGCTGCGCGTGGCACAGCGCGCAGCGAGCGCCCCTGGCCCAGCAGTAGCGCTCAAACTGTAGAACACGTGCGGTATCACAGTATTTTTGTACCTCGCGCAGCATTTTCCGTTTCCAGCTACGTTTCTGCGGCATGAGCGCGGCGCGCTGCACAAGATCCGCAGGGCCCCCCCAACTCCTGGCACCTCGTCGACCTCCTCGGTGCGCGCTCGTGGTCGCAATCGCCCTCTCCCAATGCTCTAGTTACACCTTCACTTGCATCAGCTTGGCGTGCGGCCATTGCCGCGCTCCCGAACTGGAAACCACTGTGTCGCTCGCTAGTCACTGCGCACTGCGCAGGACCAGCTCAATCCTGAATTTTCCCTGGCTGATCTGGGCCAGGCCCGTATTCGGGCCACGGTTTCCGTTGTGTGTTGAGAGAGCCTAGGCAGCGTAGAATACTGGCGAGCTCTAGCCGACGGCACGCCACCCTATCTCGCGCCGCCACATGTCTGGCGTGATGTTAAGCGAGCGGCCGACGACGAACAGACCTCCGCCGCTCGCGAATCCAGGCGTGCCAGGGTCCAGCGATCTCCCGCTTCGGTCCTCCACTCCTTTCTCTACCCCGACATGTTCGCCGAGACCCTGGCACGCCGTCTCTCGACAGCGCTGCCCGATCTCACTTTCCCGCCGGACCGTTGGCAAGAATTTGCCAACCATATGTCGAAGAGAAGGTCCTAGCGATCCGCTGGGCGGTTTGTAAGACACTAGCCACTAGCGGGAGCGTGGTGGACGAGGCACCGCTTCCCCTCCGGGCTGCGCCGCACCTGTCTGCTCGGATGCGAAGCCTGCCCAGACCGGCTCGGCCATTACCTCACCTGTCCTCGCCTCCTACATTTCCTCGCGTTACCCCGTTCCTTCCTCTCCTCGGACCCCCTTCGTTCGCATCGGCTTAGGGACGCCTGGGCAGCACGCAATTCCTGAAGCTGTCCGTCGGGCAGCGCTTTCATGTCCCTTCTACAACGAACTGCGCGTCATCTCGCACGCCGCACCCCGCGCCGCGCTATTCTACACTGCAGGCACGGAGTGCCCCGCTACTGTACTGCACGCGGTGATGCCATAGACGCCTGCTGGACTGACGGAAGGTACGGTCGCTCCTCCTCCTTCTCCTCCGCCCTTTGCCCTCCCGCTCCTCCTCCTCCTCCTCCTCCTCCTCCTCCTCCTCCTCCTCCTCCTCCTGCTCCTCCTCCTCCTCCTCCTCCTCCTCCTCCTCCTCCTCCTCCTCTTCCCCCCGTTTGCCAGGCGTCTCCTCCCTCCCCTTGTGCCCGCGCTAGCACCTCTGCCCAGACATTGTCCTATATGGCTTGTTCAGTCTGCCACCCCAGGGTTCCCGACCGTTTCCCGGGGAGGCAGCTTCGCGTCCCCGATCCGCCTTTCACGGCCCCAAGGCCCGAAAGCGGCCCCGGGTTGCCGAAGTCGAGGACAAACCGCCGCGATGGACAATCCCCAATCGTCGGAGGCCTGGGCGCGTGGGTCTCTTCGGCCCGCCCCCAATGGCCAACCCGCCGCCCTCCCCCCGTCGGCGGCCCCCAAGCGGAGTGGTGACCGCACCCTATGGTGAGTCAGGGGGGGTTCAGGGTCACCACACGGTTTTGGGAGTCGGGTTGTTCTCGGAGGACGTCTCGGGCGACTGGGGCCTCCAGGGTCCCAAAACTGTGCGGTGACCGTGCGGTGAGGTCTTTGGGGATTCCGAGGTCACAGCACGGTTTGTCCCCGCACCAGGGCCAAGGTTCAATATATGAGTGTGCTTATCGCAGGTCAGCTCGTGTGAGTTTCCCAGTTTGCCTGGCGACGTTTTGACCCGCACAGTGGTGTGCTGATCTACCCAGGTCTCGCTGATAAGGCTTGGGTATAGCTGCTGTCGAGGCACCGTCGCGGGACCCCCCAACCCCAAGAAGAAAGGGAGGAAACACACCCCGACCCCGATGATTGGCACTTGCTAGACGGCCTTGGCTTTGGGCGTTTACCAAACAGCCCTGTCCTGTTCGATTCCTCCTCTGGGTGCGTTTACTTTTTCTGTTCCCTGGGGAAGGCGCTCGCCTGCGCCGCCTTCGCCTGGACCTGCATCGGCGGCTCGGGCTCGCTCGCCGGGTTCCTCGCCCCGACTGGCAGCGGCCCGCTGCCGCCCGCGCCCCGGCCAGCGTACCGTAGGCGCCGCCGCCGCCGTCGCCGTCGCCGTCGCCGCCGTCGCCGTCGCCGTCGCCGTCGCCGTCGCCGTCTCTGGCGTTGCCTTCGTTGTCGTCGTTTTCGACGTCGTCTCCGTCTTCGTCGTCGTCGTCGTCGCCTTCGTCGTCGTCGTCGTCGTCGTCGATTTCGCCGTTTTCGACGTCTTCGTCTTCGTCGTCGTCATTGTCGTCGTCGTCATCGCCGCCGCCGCCGTCGCCGTCACCGTCGCCGACTTCATCGTTTTCGACGTCTTCGTCGTCGTCGTCGTCCTTTGTGCCGTGATGGCGGCCTTCTTGGAGCGGAGCTGCGTCGCCTGTGAAGCGCTTCGCCTGGATCGCTTCGCCCATGAACCGCTCTGCCCAGACCGCGTTGCCCGCATACCGCCTCGCCCCAGACCGCTTCGCCTGGACCGCTTTGCCTGGACGTTCGTCCATTTCCGTTTCGGCCTCGTCTGTTTTGTCCCGGTCCGTTGTGCCCCCGCCAGTTCCGCCCGCGGGCACGTCTGATAAGAAACAGGCCTGCGGCCTGCCAGTAGATGCCCCACGGAAATGTCTTATGGCCCAATGGCCCCATGGACAGAAGCGTTGGGGCACCTTTGGACCCTCAAAGATCGACGGAGACTGTGCCCCGAACTGCCTTAGAGCATTTTGTCTGTCCACCGCAAGAGAGCTCGCACGCCCGCACCGCCCGTGCGGGCCTGCCCGCGCGACCCGCCTTTGGGGGGTCCGCACGCTCGCTGGCTTGCAGCCCCGCTCGCCTGCTTTGATGTCCCGCCCGTCAGGCTCCGCCCGCCCGACTTTCCTGAGTCGACCGTGAGGGTCCGCCCGCCCGACCCCCGCCCGTCAGGGCCCGCACGCTCGCCTGCAAGCCGGCCCGCCCGCCTGCAGGTCGACCGCCCGACCTGCCCGTTGGGGCCCGCACGCTCGCTTGCGTGCAGGCCCGCCCGCCCTCTTTCGGGTCTCGGCTGCCCGACCCTCCCGTCAGGGCCCGTCCGCCCGCCAGGCCCGCCCGTCGGGGTCCGCCTGCCCGGCCTGCCCGTGGGGGTCCGCACACTCGCTTGCCTGCAACACCGCCCGCCCGACCCGCCCGATAGGGCCCCCGACCCGCCCGACCCGCCCGTTTGGGCCCCCAATCCGCCAGGAACTCACAGCCCGCCAGGCAGAGGGAAGGGACCGACGAAGACGGCGACGACGACGACGACGACGACGACGCCGACGCCGACGACGACGACGACGAGATGAACGAGCAGACGACGATGGCGACGACGGCGACGAGCAGGCCCAGCAGCACAACGAGCAAGATGACCACAGCGACCAGGACGGCGAAGCGACGACGACGAAGACGGCGGCGGCAACGACGACGACGGCGGCCCGCCAGCGAGCTGGCCAGCCGGCGAAGCGGCCCGCCTGGCGGAGCGGTCCTGGGCGGAGCGGTCCGCTGCCGAAGGTCCACCAGCGAAGCGGTTCCCGGGCAAAGCGGTCAGGACGATCGAAGGGGTTCGGGCGAAGCGGTTGGCCAGTGAAGTGATTTCGTTCCGCCGTCGTCGATCGAAGACGAATGTTGGATGCTCAAGGTTTTCGTTGGCTCTTTCGGGCACCGTCCTGAGGCCTACATGGAGGCCTCCTGAGACCCCTGGAGACCTCCGAGGATCCTTTGCTTTCGCCCGCCCCTCCCCCTCGTCCTTTTTCTGCATCTCCCTCTCCCCTCCCATTCACTCATTCCTCTACGACGTAAACATCACAGATTGGCTGGTCCTTGCAACAAGCGATGCTACGTGGATGCAAATGGAAAAGCAGCTCGCGAACGACGACGCTGGCGGAGGCCCCGCACGCACTCAGCACAGCCCAGAATACCGCGCGCCGACATCGACACCCCGAGCTTGAGAGCCCTTAGTCCTCCTCCTTCTCGGCACACAGAGTGACTTGACCTGACCTGTCCTGACAAGTCCTGCCACTATTTGTTTGCATCCAAGAGCATGAGGCCACGACCTCGCCCACATGGCCCGAGGGAGGCCCAGGCACCTGTCCGCTGCGCTGGTCTGCCTGTCTACCGACTGCCGCCGCATTCCAGAGGTCCTCGGGAGCCTTCTGCACAGGATGTCCGACACCGCGCGCCTCGGTCGGGCCCCCGATCGGCCCTCGGGGAGGCCCCCCATCGCTCCCCTCACCCCGTTGGGGGCAGAGGGACAGGCAGGAGCGTTGGGAGAGGAAGGGTCGAGAGAGAGGGTGAGAGAGAGAGAGGGCCCAAAGCGGTGGGGCTTCCTGAGTCGTGCTTTGTTGCTTGGGGCAGATGCCATCGACACAGAGACCCAGACTTCCGACGTGCTGTTTTTTTTCAACCCTCCCTTGGTTGGGCACTCGTTTTGAATAGAGCACTGTCTGCCCCATCCTCCTCCTCCTCCTCCTCCTTCTCCTCCTCCCCCTCCTCCCGCCTCCTCCCTTCTCCCTCCTCTCCCTCTCTCCTCCCGCCTGCGTGGTGCTTCGTGCCCGCGGCTCGCTCGGGTGCCGTCACTTGCGAAGCAGAGGTGCCGAGGAGATGCGTCTTACGCAGATCACCATGAGACCTCGTCGCCCCCTGGGGGGCTGCGATCTGCGAAACTGTCGCCACTCACGGGGGAGTCCTGGGAGCCATCGACACAGAGACCCAGACTTCCGACGTGTTCATTTGTTTCCATGCGCGGCCCCAGTCCCGACCGCTTCCTCAGGGGTAGGTTTTTGTCGCGGACCCATTTTGATGCCTCTGGGGCCGTGCAATGGGGCCGCAGAGGCCGAAATCGAGGAACATTCCCAGATTGGAAACATAATATCTTCGAAGATCTGGGGAGAGCGAAAGGAGAAAGAGAGAGATTCATGCGCCAGTATCCATATGTGCGCTCTCCCCGGAGACCTGTGGCACCACATAGCAGGGCGCGTGTGGTGTCTGATTGGGGGCGCGGGGCTGCTCTCAGCCCGTCGCGACTTCCCGCCGTCGGACCATGCTGTGTGTTCTCTCCCGGAACCGGGAGTGGAGCGGCCGCGGCACGGTGCATGGCGTCTCCGCGTGCTTCGCTGCACAGTGGAACCTTGCGCGCCACGGATTTAGTGAGTGACTGTGTGGAGAGAGAGAGAGAGAGAGAGAAAAGAGAGAGAGAGAGAGAGAACAAACAACAAAAAAACGTCTTATGCTCGTCTGTTCTCGCGCGCGAGCTCGCTCGGCAGGCAGCTGGCGACCGGCCGCGACGGCCGAGAGCCCGCCGTCGCCATGCGCGCGAACTCGGCCGAGCCCTCTGCTCCGACGAGTAACCCCAAGGTTCGGAGGATGCAGTTCGGCAAGTTCTACAGCCCCCAAGGGCGTCAGGTCAGTGTCGGGCGAAAGGGTAGGATCAGGAAAGGGGGGGGTGCGATCTCTCAGAGGAGGGCGTGCTGCGATGACGGTAGTTTGCCTTTGGGGGGGCCCTCGTCGCCACGGCTGGGCGCAGCTCGGATAATTGGTGCCTTTGGAAGCCAGGAGGGGTCAGGGGCCCGATTTTGAGTTCTCGCTGGCTCAACTCAGCTTGCTCCGAACTTCTGCTGCATGCAGCTGGTCAGGGCCGCGCCGCCAGGCGATTCCCTCGATACTTTGGCGCCTCTGGCGCTGGGAGGCGCCGGGAAAACCAGGTGCGTGAGCTGATCGGCTCACCCCCCTTACTACCCCTCCTTTCGTCCAGCCCGACAGGTTAGGGTCCGGGTGAACCGTCACACGAACAAGCCGATCCTCTACAGGATGCACGTTCAGGAGGGCGACTTCGTCCAGGTGCAGAAGGGCAAGGACGCGGGTAAGGTCACCCAGGTCATACGGGTCTACAGGAAGTGGAACAAGGTGCTGTGCCTGGGCGTCAACTTTGTGATCAAGCACGTGCGGCCGCAGCGCGAGGACGAAGTGGGCTCTCGCGTGCAGGTGGAACATCCTCTTCACGCCTCGAACCTCTTGCAGTACGACAAAGAAGAGGGGGTCGCGGGCTACCTGGGCATCCGCTGGGTGCCACAGAAGGTCGGCGCCGACGGGGGTGCAGTCTTCGAAGAAGTAGTTTCGCCACCCATGAGTCGTCAACGCATCCCATCCTGCAAGCCGCAAAGTGTTTGGCTAAACCCATTCGGTCGCGGTTGCGGTTCCCGATCGGAACTTGCCAGCGCATCTCTACGGCCGCACTGGCGCGCGCGCTTCCGCGCAGATCGGCCAGCTGGTTTGGCACCACCGATGCGGCCGCGATGGCGCTCACCGCAAGGAACCTCCCAGCGCATCTCAAAGGGCGCGCTGGGGCGCCGGGCAGGCACTTCCGTGCGGATCGGTGACTCTGGCGGGCACGGTATCATGATTGCATCGGCAACGGCGGCACTGAGGATGATGATCGCGATGGTGGTGGCTATGATGACGATGACTACGGCAAGGCCAATGTTGGCGCCGATGTTGCTGATGATGATGATGATGACGGTGATGATAATGACTTGGCATCGCTCGGACGTGTGCATTTTTCCTTCGGCGAGGGCCATCGAGGAGCATCCTTGGTCACTTGGCGAAAAAAAAACACGCAAGAAACCGACACAAACACAGGGAATGGACGTCCGAGCGATGGCGAGATGATGATGATGACGATGATGGTGATGCTGCTGCTGCTGATGATGATGCTGCTGCTGCTGATGATGATGTCCACATGTCGGTGATGAAGGTGATTGAGCGGATGTGGCTGTTATGCCGGGCAGTGACGATGACGGTAAAGGCGGTGATGTGGTGGCGTTCATAATGATGATGAGGAAGTGCGCGCGCCGAAAAGTTCAACACACATGGCATCAAACGATAAATTAATATGCGGTACCAATGTATGTTAAAGTGCTGTGTTTTGAATCGCTGCGAGAACCACTGGCATTGCGGTGATTCCGACACGTGCCCGTGGCGGCGCACGCGCGTGGCCCGCATGGTAATTGTCCATCTGGAGTCGTGCACTGGTCGCATGCTGGACGGAATGTGTGCCGTGTGATTTCGGCATGTGCGGGCGCGCGGACTCGTGGATGATCTTACAAAACGAGCTCTTGAGATAAACGAGGGTGCGCGCATACCATTATTGGACAAGGATGGATGGGGGGCGGTGCCCGCTTGGCAAGGGTGGTCAGGTTTAATATGCCAGCGCGCCGCTTGTTCCGAAGAGCGGCCTCGCGTTTTGGGGAGGGCGCCTCGGCCACCAGGGCAAACTCCGCCTCGAACACAAGGTTTGCTGTGAGGTGTGGCAAGGTGCCAGCTTCTTCTATTCGGGCGCGTTCAGAGGAAACGGCGCGGCGACATGTTGGGTTGCTCGATGTGAAGGACAGAACTCCCGACCCGCCTCGCACACCCTGCGTACCGCGGCCGCGAGGCTCAAAGTGTGCGGGTGCTCCCTGGGGATCCCGCCTCGTGTCTTCGATGAGCGACGACAGCATACCGCGGCAGCCAGGCCCACAGCGTGCTGGCGCTCCCTGGGGATCCAACCTCGCGTTATCGGGCGTGGATCGCTCCAAGCAGAATCTTGGCTCTTCCTTCAAGGTCAGCGAGGACGGGGGTTGGATCTATCATGCGCGCTCCGCGCGTCAGGGAGGGGGGCCCGGCAGCGATCCCAGAAATCCGCCCTGACCTTCGAGAGTTTAGGCTTACGTCGTTTTGTTCTTCCTCAAAGGTCGGGGCAACGTAAGGGTGGGACCGGCTCAGGGGGGGATGCGTCGACCCCCAATCGTCGATTTATCGCCGATGGGCCCGATAGCCCAACTCGCTCAGAAACGTGCGGTATCGTTTTCGGGGGCCTGTCGCCGACCTATCGGCGGCGTATCGCCGATTCAAGATCGATGTTCCCCCGCTCCCCCCCCCCCCCCCCCTGAGCTGGTTCCCCCCCTTGGCGTTGCCCCTCATAAGGTCAGCGAGGGCGGGGATATGATCTACTACCCGGAGAGGTATAACAAGGCCACGGGCAACGCCATCCCGAACCGTGTCCCGCCCAAGTGGACGCCCGTGCTCGAGCGGGGCGAGGAGGAGGACGACGAATGAGTGTGGCGGATTCGTGGATCCAGCACGTCTCGGGGAATGGCGCCTCAGAAGTACCCTGCGCCTCAGAAGGCGCGGGGCCCTGTCTGCAGATGCAAGGCCCGCGCCTTCGAAGAAGCAGAAGGGCTTCTGAGAAGCCCTCCCCCCTCCCCCCTACCCCCCTATTGCGCGCGCCGCCAGCACTCCCCGCCCCGCCGCGGGGCGCCGGCGGCTCTGCCAGCGGGAGCAGGCCGCCTCTCTGCTGCGCCCATGCGGGGCCCAAGGGCGCGGCCGGCCGGGTGGCCACCGCCGCTGCCCCGCCCGCGTGGCCGCCGCCCTGGCCGCCGGGGGTCCTGTTGCCGACGGCGTCCCGCGCCGCGGCCGGGAGGGGGGCCGCGTGCTACTCGCGCCGCGCCCAGGCTTGGCGAAGCGGCGGGGCGAGCGAGCCATCCGGGCGGAGAGAGGGCTCCCGTCTCGGAGCAGGGACGGTGGACTTCTGGTGCCGCAGGAGAAGAGCAACTGCATGAAGCTAGCCTTCCAAGGCTCCGCGCGGATTCCTTCGCCTTCCCTGGCGCGCTCCGCTCGCCAGGGAGGGGGGCCCAGCGCCGATTCAAGGGATCCGCGCGGACATCCGAGAGTGGATGCTTATGTCTTATTACTTCTAGAGATGTGCTAGACTTCTGGTGTGCACGCGCGTTCGCGACACCAAGCAGTGGACCCCTAACAGTGTTCCTAGCAATACATATATCTTTAGGTGCGTGTGTGCAACCTATGAGGTGTAGTCTATGTGTTGCAAAACATGTGATACAATCTAGGTTGAGCAATGTATGATGTGCCATGTCTGTAGAGCAATCAAGGTCGTGCAAAATATGCTATTTAATAATTGGCGCAGTGTATGTTTTGCAGTCTCGGTTGAGCAGAATGTGTTGCTTAATCTATGTGAGCAATCGATGGGGCAAAATAGGTGTAACAATATATGTGGAGCAATACGCGTGGTGCAATATATGTTGTGAACCGTATGTTGACCGATGTATGTGGTGCAAACTATGTGGTGCAAGCGACGTGGTGCAAGTATCTTTGTGCTTCTGGTGTGATCGCGATGCTTCCTTGCCGTGCCCGCAGCATTGGACCGTCATGCGCTCTTTTAAGCAGTGGGGTCAAAGGCTCGGCCAACGACCACATGTACACAACGGACCAGCGATCACTGTGTATCGTGATGCATCCCCTTGGAAAGTAGATGACAGCGGTAAAAGATAGTATTATCCACCTCGAGTGGTCTGTCAGGCAGCCCACAGGGCTCTATGACAGTAGCAGGGCAGGGGCTCTGCCGTTTCAGAACCGCTCTCCAAACCAGGCCCAAGAGAGCTCCCGAATAGGATGCTGCTTGCAGGAGCCATCCGCAAACACGTGTCCCGAGAACTGGCAGGGCCTCGGAACCTGTTGCGAATCACTAGGCCCCCCCCCTGGAGCAGGTGGTATAAATTTGTGCTGCCGCCGGTCCGAGGTCCAGGAAATTCATTACATGTATTTCCTTATGTTCCTGAAAACCGGCACGTATCTCCCAAACCCTGATACCCGCCCTCTTCGTCTTCGATCGTGCACCCTCGGAGGCATATCGTCTTGACATGCCGCGTGTAACTGTTGCAGCCCCTGAAACACAGGAAGAGAGGACGGATGGATGGGGGAGGGACAAGGATGCGCAGGCTGACCGTGCGAGTTGATCCTGACGGGGGGGTCGGGAAGGCGGGCCCAAGCGGCCAGGTCGAGCAGGCGGGCTGCTGACTCGTGAGTAGTGTGCAGCATGTGCAGCGGGCGGGTAGATCCTGACGGGCGGGTTGGAAAGGCGGGCCCAAGCGGCGGTCGAGCAAGCGGGTTGCAGCATTTTCTTTTGCAAAAAGTAAGGTGCTAACCCCGGGAGGAGCATTTTGATCTTAAAAACACAAGGGTCACCGGGCAGGGACATCATCACAACTGTTTGTTTAGAAATGGGAACCAAATGACATCAGCAGCAACAACAGCAGGTCAGCAACAACAACACTAATCTAAGACTGTTCGCTCCTGTCTGCTCGCGTGCCATTCAACCCGTATATCCCAAACCCTCGATACCCATCTTCTTCGTCTTCGATCGGGCCCCCTTTGGAGTATATCTTCCGTGCTTGCCACGCGCATTCAGTGCAGCTCCTAAAACAGGAGAAGCGAGTGCGGGTGGAAAGTGGGGAAGGGAAGTATGGAACATGAGAGACATTAGCTGGAGGCGGTCTCGGAGCAGGAAACACGTGGCAAAACCAGACGGGTAGACTGGACGGGTAGACCCCAACGGGCGGGTCGGGAAGGCGGGCCCAGGCGGCCAGGTCGAGCAGGCGGGTTGCTGCAGCGTGCGTCTTGCATGAATCGCGAGGAGCTGTCGAGCGATAGCGCGACTCCCATGTAATGAGTGAGAAAGGCCAACGCGAGAGCGTGATTCTTGAGTGTCGAGGGCATGGCGTTTGAATACATGGCGAGGAGGTCCCACGCGAGAGCGCGATTCCTGTACACGTTATGAGGCAGTCCCGCGCGACAGCGCGATGCTGGAATAACTTGTGAGGAAGTAGCAGGTGGGAGCCGGCGTTGTTGTGAAATGGGGCCCAATGGTTTAGTTCGGTGACGCTTCATTTTCCCCTGTAAAAATCCGTGTGCGAGCTCCGAGGGGGGCACATCAACTGAAACATACACGTGTTACCGAGCTGGGACCAATTTTAAGAAATGAGAGTTCAACAACAACAACAACAACAACAATCACTTTACCCGAACGCTCAGTGTTCTCACCAGTGCCAGGGTTTTCATGCGACGCCAGCCAATACCCCCACTTTGTGGGGGGGCAGTGCAAGCTCTACCAAATATCCACACGACTCTTCGCCACCACCCACACCCAGCTTCCCGCCCTATGACGTTCGGACACTTCACTTCGTGGCCTGCGGACGACCGTGGCTACTACACTGGCGTGGAGTACACACCCACAGAAGTTGTTAAGCCTACGTTCGTACACCCACAGAAGTTGTTAAGCCTTGTTAACCCACAGAAGTTGTTAAGCCTTCCACAGAACATCTGTTGCATATGATGCATATGGTACATGATACACATGATACACATGAAATTTTGAAAAGTCGTGCAGGTGTTTTTCGAGGACCTACGGTGCGATTCGTGTGATGTTATAATGCGCGGTGCTAAAATTCTTAAGAAGCCCAGAATGGTTTTTGGAGATTTCGGCGTGCGCGCGCGAAGAAAAAACGAATGTGTCCCGCATGGTATTATTTGACAGGGATGATGGCCCTGGCAGGTGCGCAACCGTTGTCGCAGAAGTTCGAAAAAGTTGCTCGCAAAAGCCCGTTTGACAGAAATGTTTAAAAAGTGTTGGTTTTCCTACGAATCCGCAAGAGCGCGCGGGATGAGATTTTGACATTTTTTTGTTGAAAAACCATTGGTTTTTTGATGTTTTTATGTTAAAATCGCTCCGAACACTAAGCTTTTGGAAGGATTTCGTCTTGCGCGCGCGAATGTCCACTTTACCTTATTTTTTGCAAGGGATTCTTGAAATTTGATTATATTAGAACAAGAAATGTCATTTTATAGTGTTTTTTGCAAGGGAAAACGGATTACAACAAAACAACCGGATCTTGATGACATCGTATTACCTGAGGCTTCCTCACGAAAATGATGAAAATGTAGCTGCGGCCTAGGCGGCGCAGGGGGGCCGTGCACCAGGGGTCCCAACAATAATTATTCTTTAGAATTAATAATGTTCAACAACAACAACAACATCACTCATTTAACACTGTTCGCTCTTATGCGCTCGCGTGCCAACCCGTATATCCCAAGCCCTCGGTACCCGCCCTGTTCGTCTTCGATCGTGCTTTCATTCGGGGCATATTTTTTACTAGCAACTTGTATTGCCTGCAGCCCGCACCGCAGGGGAAGAGAGGACAGATGGAAGAAAGGGACACGGGGGAGGGGGGAGGATGGAGCACGAAAGAGAGAGAGAGAGAGAGAGAGATAGTAACAGGAGGAGGGTTCGGAGCAGAACACACGTGGCAGAACGAGACGGGTAAATCGGGCGGGCAGACCCTAGTGGGCGGGTCGGGAAGGCGGGCCCAGGCGGCCAGGTCGAACAGGAGGGTTGCTGAAGCGTGCGTCCCGCATGAACCGCGACGAAGTGTTGAGCGATAGCGCGATTCCCAAATAAATCGCGAGATGAACCGCAACGAGAGCGTGCCCCTGAGTGTCGAGGGCGCGGCGTCTGAATACATTGCGGTGAAGTCCCACGCGAAAGCGCGATTTTGCATACATTGCAGGGAAGTCCCGCGCGAGAGCGCGACTTGGGAATACATGGTGAGGAAGTATCAAGCGGGAGCCGCTGTTGCTGTAAACCGTGGTCCAAACACGATGATCCCGAGACCCAAACTTCCCCAGTTAAAGGCCAGGTGCGAGGCCAGAGAAGGGCATTTCGATTCAAACAACATGTTTTTATAACAGCAATAGTTTCTGGACTGGTCGCTCATATCTGCCCACGGGCCATTCAACACGTAGACCAATGCCCTCGATACCCGCCCTTTTCGTCTTCGATCGGACCTCTTTTGGGGCATCCCTTCCTTCCTGCCACGCGCATTTCGCGAAACCCTTAAAACAGGGGAGGAGAGGACGGATGGACGCGGGACGGAAAAGGATGAAGCCCGAGTGAGAGTATCAGGAGGGGGGCTCGGGGCAGAAAACACGTTGTAGAACGAAACGGGTAAACCGGGCGGGCAGACCCTCGTGGGCGGGTCGGGCAGGCGGGCCCAGGCGGCCAGGTCGGGCAGCAGGGTTGCTGAAGCGTGCGTCTTGCATGAATCGCGACGAAATTGTAAGCGATAGCACGATTCCCAAGGAATTCGTGCGACAAAAGCCAAAGCGACAGCGCGACTCTTGAACGTCGAGGGCGCGGCATGTGAACCAAGTGCAGGGAAGTCCCGCGCGAGAGCGCGATTCCTGTATAAATTATGAGGAAGTCCCGCGCGAGAGAACGATTTTTGAATACATGGTGAGGGACTATGTGACCCGGGGGCCAGAGGCCCAGTTTGACTTCCAACTTTTTCATTGTGGAAAACAGGGCGCGAGCCTCTGGAGGGGCACTTCACTTGGAACACACCCACTGTGCGTCGGAGGAGGATCAACAATATTGATTCAACAAAATGAATGTTCAACAGCAATAGCCATACCACCTCCACCAACAACAACACAAACAATCATTGTAAGACTGTTCGCTCCTATCTGCTCGCGTGCCACTCACCACGTATATGCCAAACCCTTGGTACCCGCTTTATATCTTCATTACCTGCCACGTGCATCAACTGCAGCCCCTACCTAAGCCATCGGGAGAATGGGCGGGTGGAAAGGGGGAGGGGGAACGATGGAGCACGAGACAAAATAGCTGGAGGCGGGCTCGGAGCAGAAAACACGTGGCTGAACCAGACGGGCAGACCGGGCGGGCAGACCCCACCGGGCGGGTCGGGATGGCGGGCCCATTGGCCCAGGCGGCCAGGTCAAGCAGGTGGGCTGCTGAAGCGCGGGTCCTGCGTGAATCGCGTGGAACTTTTGAGTGGTCGCGCGATTCCCATTGAAATCGCGCATGCATCCACAGCGAAAGCGTGATTCCTGAGTGTCGAGGGCGCGGCGCTTGATTGAATTGCGAGGAAGTCCCACGCGAGAGCGCCATCCTGAGGAAGTCCCGCGCGAAAGTGCGATGTTGGAATAAGTTGTGAGGAAGTATCGGGCGGGAGCCGTTGTTGTTGTTGTTGTTGTTGTTGTTGTTGTTGAACTCTCATTCTTGAAGAATAATTGTTGTTGATCCCCCCCCACCGGTGCACATTGATTTTTTTCGATTGAAGTGCCACCCCCGGGGCTCGCACCTTGTTTTTTCTCAAGGAAAGTCTTCCTGCTCAAACTGTGCCCCTGCCCCCCGGGCTACAACAACAACGGCTCCCGCCTGAGACTTCCTCGATTTTTACTCAGGACCCCCGCTCCCGCCTGAGACTTCCGCGCAATTTACTCAGGAAAGGCGCTCCCGTCTGAGACTTCCTCGCAATGTAATCAAGACCCCCGCTCCCGCTTGAGACTTCCGTGCAATTTACGTGGGAACGGCGCTCCCGCCTGAGACTTCTTCGAATTTTACTCAGGACCCCCGCTCCTGCCTGACATTTCCGCGCAATTGACTCAGGAACGGCGCTCCCGCCTGAGACTTCCTCGCAATTTAGTGAGGACCCCCGCTCCCGCCTGAGACTTCCGTGCAATTTGCTCAGGAACGGCGCTCCCGCTTGAGACTTCCTCGCAACTTAGTCAGGGCCCCCGCTCCCGCCCGAGATTTCCTCACAATGTACTCAGGACTGCGCTCTCGCGTGCGACGTCCTCACAAATTATTCTGGAATTGCGTTTCGGCGCTCAGGAACCACGCACGCGCCAAGGACGCCTTCACAACGTGGTATCTTCCCTCTTCCTTCGTCCTTCCCCCTCCCCTTCCTCCCACTCTCCCTCGTTCTTCCCCTCCTCCTCTTGCAGGGCCCGCGCCAATTCCAATGGCGGGCAGAGAGATGTACGCCCCCGAAGGATTGTCCGCCCGTTCCGGTTTGCCCGTACGTCTAAGCCCGCCGGCCCCAGCAAAGAGAAATAATCCCCCCGAAAGGGGTGTGATCGAAGACGAAGAGGGCGGGCTTCGAGGGTGTAGGGTATACGTGTTGAATGACTCGCGGGCAAGTAAGAGCGCACAGCCTTAAAATGGTTGTTGTTGTTGTTGTTATTGTTGTTGTTGTTGCTGTTGTTGTTGTTGTTGTTGTCGTTGTAACTGGGGGGCCAGTGTCCCAGTTTGGTGACATCCAGCCTGCCCTTGCAAAAAACAGGGCGCGAGGCCTGGGACGGGCATTATAATGGAACACATGAAATTCTTACCGGGCAGGGGGGATCAACCATATTTTTTAAAAGAAAATTCAACAGTAACAGCAAACATCCGCACCGCGGAGTTCCACTTCAACCGCGCACCCATGGACAGTATGAGACAGTTTGGTTGTTCATTGTGATGTTTATGCGGTTGTTCCTTCTTCTATCATCGTCGTCACCCTCGTCCTCAAGAGCCACTCGGGCTCGCAAGCCGCGCGCGGCAGCAGACACAGGGGCCCCCCCTTCTGCAGACGTTGGCGGCCATGGTCGCACAGGGACGCCAGGGCCTCATGGCCAAGGCCTGGGGAGAGCCCAGCCAGAGGAGGAGGAGGAGGAGGAGGAGGAGGAGGAAGGGAGGGTCCTTGAGATCTTGGCGTCGTTTTTTCCGCAACGAGGAATTATGCCTTGTTTCGGGCACCAGGGCCCTCACGGATCGGTCCGACTTGAAAATTGCAGCAGGAAGATCGGATTCAGTGATTCGTTGTGTTGCTTATTTTTTGTGTGACGTCGGATTTCAGGGATCCAGGAGGGGGAGGAGGAGGAGGAGGGACCAGTGTAAACCCAAGGCGCATGAACGATGCTGCATTCAACCCTCCCTCCAAGTCTCCTTTTCATAGGTCCCTACAAGAAGTGTTTGTCATTGCGGGAAGTGCCCCAGTGAAAAACAACCGTGTGTGAATCCCCAATCGCACCAGGACGTATTTTCTCGGATTGACTTGACAGTCCCAAACCGTGCCAGAACACCGTTCCTGTGGCTCCAACGCCGCGAATCAACGTTCTTGTTGCGTCCTGTGAATCCGAACTCATGCCAGAGCGCTATTCCCGTGACCTCAATCCTACGAATCCGCGGCGCCCAGGCGAGAGGCACCTTTTGAAAAGGGACCACCCTATATCCTTGAAGCGGCTGCAAAGGGTTGAGACGCATGTGCGCGGCGTTCAGGGAAGAACCGCAGTTTGAAAACCACCCGCCATCCATCTTTGAAATTGTTGCAGGTTGGTTGAAGGAATGTGCGCGGTGCCTACGGCGAGAACCACATTGTGAAAGCCACCCGCCAACAGTCTTTGCAGCTGCTGCAAACTGTTGAGACGAATGTGCGCGGCCCTAAGGCGAGGCCCAGATTGTGAAAACCACCCGCCGTCCATCCTTGAGCATGTTGCACATTTCAAGTTTCAGGATCATATGAATGGTGAGGGAGTCTCAGGCGAAACGCCTGGCCTGCTCTACCGACACGTCTGTGGGTGCGACAGGGAGGAATTGATTAGAAGGAGAAGGGATGGACGGGCCAAGAGCAGGGAGGGACCCCGCTACGCCTATTCCTCCTCTTCCTCCTCCTCCTCCTCCTCCCCCTCCTCCTCCTCCGCCCTCTGCCCTCCTCCTCCTCCTCCTCGTCCTCCTCCGCCCTCCTCCTCCTCCTCCTCCTCCTCCTCCTCCTCCTCGCGCACTGCGGGCAAAGCGGTCCTTATCCTCCTCCTCCTCCTCCTCCTCCTCCTCCTCCTCCTCCTCCTCCTCCTCCTCCTCCTCCTCCTCCTCCTCCTCCTCCTCCTCCCCCCTCTTGCCAGGCGTCTCCTCCCTCCCCTTGTGCCCGCGCAAGCACCTCTGCCCAGACACTGACCTATGTGGCCTATATGGCTTCTTCGATCCGCCACCCCAGACATCCCGACCGTTTCCCGCGGGGGCAGCTTCGTCCCCGATCCACTCTTCACTGCCCCAGGGCCCGAACGCGGCCCCTGGCTGCCGAGGTCGAGGACAAACCGCCCCGATGGACAATCCCCGATCGTCGGAGGCCTGCCCGCCGCCCAGTGGCCAACCCGCCGCCCCCCCCCCGTCGGCGGCCCCCAAGCGGCGTGGTGACCGCACCCTATGGTGAGTCAGGGGGGGTTCAGGGTCACCACACGGTTTTGGGACTCGGGTCGTTCTCGGAGGACGTCTCGGGCGATTGGGGCCTCCAGGGTCCCAAAACTGTGCGGTGACCGTGCGGTGAGGTCTCGGGGGATTCCGAGGTCACAGCACGGTTTGTCCCCGCACCGGGGCCAAGGTTCATTCTCGGAGGTTGGGGGGTGAGTCCGACGTGAAACGGAGACCCCCCTACCGGGAAATGGATTTCGGTTTCGGGTTCGTGTCGTGCGTGCCGTGCGTGAGTGCGGGCGAGGCGAAGCTGCGTGGGCGGGCGAGAGGAAATCCTCCTGCGGCTGGGCCGCGGCCGGACCAAATGTTTCTCCTCTGGCGGCCTGTGGCCCGCTGGTGTCCCGCCTGTGTCCCGCTGGTGTCCCGAAATCTTCCTGTGGCTGGGCCGCGGCCGGACCAAATGTTTCTCCTCCGGCGGCCTGTGGCCCGCGGTGTCCCGCCGGTGTCCCGCTGGTGTCCCGAAATCCTCTTGTGGCTGGGCCGCGGCCGGACCAAATGATTCTCCTCCAGCGGCCAGTGGCGCGCGGTGTCCCGCCGGTGTCCCGCTGGTGTCCCGAAATCCTCCTGTGGCTGGGCCGCGGCCGGACCAAAGGACGCTCCTCCCGTCAAACGGTGGCCCGCGGTGTCCCGCTGGTGTCCCGCCAGTGTCCTGCCGTGGGTTGTGCATTTCAAAACATCGCCGCTTGCGGCGAGCTATCCAATGCATCACATCACGTTCACGTGCACAATCACACTACTCACTAGACTCCGCCCCACAGGCATCGTCAGAACAACAATCACCACTTTTGCCCATTGCTGCCCCCCAACTTCCTCATCACCCGCAGGGTGGTCGTACAGGTATGAGGGTGTCTATCGCAGGTCAGCTCGTGTGAGTTTCCCAGTTTGCCTGGCGACGTTTTGACTCGCACAGTGGAGTGCTGATCTACCCAGGTCTCGCTGATAAGGCTTGGGTATAGCTGCTGTTGAGTTGTTGCTTAACTGGGCGTGCTCAGCTGGCGGTATCCTTCCCTCCCAACAAAATGGAAAGGTCTGTCACCGCACCGGCGTGGGACTCCCGAGCCTCGAGAAGAAAGGGAGGAAAAACACCCCGACCCCGATGACTGGCATTTGCTAGACGGCCTTGGGCGTTTACCAAACAGCCCTGTCCTGTTCGATTCCTCCTCTGGGTGCGTTTACTCAACGCCTCTGCTTGTATGGGGTGTGTATTGTGAGGGTGGTCTTCCTGCTCCCTAGAGAAGGCGCTCGCCTGCGCCGCCCTCGCCTGGACCTGCATCGGCGGCTCGGGGTCGCTCGCCGGGTTCCTTACCCCGGCTGGCAGCGGCCCGCTGCCGCCCGCACCCCGGCCGGCGTACCGCAGGCGCCGCCGCCGCCGCCGCCGTCGCCGCCGCCGCCGTCGACGTCGACGCCGTCGCCGTCACCGTCTCTGGCGTCGTCTTTATTGTCGTCGTTTTCAACGTCGTCCCCGTCTTCGTCGTCGTCGTCGCCTTCGTCGTCGTCGTCGTCAATTTCGCCGTTTTCGACGTCTTCGTCTTCGTCGTCGTCATTGTCGTCGTCGTCGTCATCGCCGCGGCCGCCGTCGCCGTCGCCGCCGTCGCCGTCGCCGTCGCCGTCGTCGATTTCACCGTTTTCGACGTCGTCGTTGTCGTCGGCGTCGCCGTCGTCGTCGCCGTCGTCGCCGTCGTCGCCGTCGTCGTCGTCCTTTGTGCCGTGATGGCGGCCTTCTTGGAGCGGAGCTGCGTCGCCTGTGAAGCGCTTCGCCTGGATCGCTTCGCCCATGAACCGCTCTGCCCAGACCGCGTTGCCCGCATACCGCCTCGCCCCAGACCGCTTCGCCTGGACCGCTTTGCCTGGACGTTAGTCCCTTTCCGTTTCGGCCTCGTCTGTTGTGCCCCCGCCAGTTCCGCCCGCGGGTACTTCTGATAAGAAACCGGCCTGCGGCCTGCCAGTAGATGCCCCGCGGAAATGTCTTATGGCCAAGTGGCCCCATGGACAGAAGCGTTGGGGCACCTTTGGACCCTCAAAGATCGACGGAGAATGTGCCCCGAACTGCCTTATAGAATTTTTTCTGTCCACTGCAAGAGAGCTCGCACGCCCGCACCGCCCGTGCGGGCCTGCCCGCGCGACCCGCCTTTGGGGGGTCCGCACGCTCGCTGGCTTGCAGCCCCGCTCGCCTGCTTTGATGTCCCGCCCGTCAGGCTCCGCCCGCCCGACTTTCCTGAGTCGACCCTTAGCGTCCGCCCGCCCGACCCCCGCCCGTTAGGGCCCGCACGCTCGCTTGCAAGCCAGCCCGCCCGCCTGAAGGTCCCGCATGCCCGACCCTCCCGTTAGGGTCCGCCCGCCCGAGCAGCCCATTCACGTCCGCACGCCTGGCTCGCCCGTCATAATCCGACCGCCCGACCTGCCCGTCAGGGCTCGAACGCTCGCTTGCGTGCAAGCCCGCCCGCCATCTTTCAGGTCACGCCTGCCCGACCCTCCCGTTAGGGCCCGTCCGCCCGCCAGGCCCGCCCTTCAGGGTCCATCCGGCCGGCCTGCCCGCGGGGGTCCGCACACTCGCTTGCCTGCAACACCGCCCGCCCGACCCGCCCGTTTGGGCCCCCGACCCGCCCACAGCCCGCCTGGCAGAGGGAAGGGACCGACGAAGACGGCGACGACTGCAACGACGACGACGACGCCGACGACGCCGAACCCGCCCACAGCCCGCCTGGCAGAGGGAAGGGACCGACGAAGACGGCGACGACTGCAACGACGACGACGACGCCGACGACGCCGACGCCGACGCCGACGCCGACGCCGACGCCGAGGCCGACGCCGACGCCGACGCCAAGGCCGACGACGACGAGATGAACGAGCGGACGACGATGGCGACGACGACGACGAGCAGGCCCAGCAGCACAACGAGCGAGATGGCCACAGCGACCAGGACGGCAAAGCGGCAACGACGACGACGGCGGCCCGCCAGCGAGCTGGCCAGCCGGCGAAGCGGCCCGCCTGGCGGAGCGGTCCTGGGCGGAGCGGTCTGCCGCCGAAGGTCTGCCGGCGAAGCGGTTCCCGGGCGAAGCGGTCAGGGCGATCGCAGCGGTTCGGGCGAAGCAGTTGGCCGGTGAAGGGGTTTCGTTCCGCCGTCGCTGCCGTCGCCGGGCCGACGTCGTCGATCGAAGACGAGTGTTGGATGCTCAAGGTTTTCGTTGGCTCTTTTTGGCGCCGTCCTGAAGCCTACATGGAGGCCTCCTGAGACCTCTGGAGACCTCCGAGGATCCTTTGCTTTCCGCCGTCCCCTTCCCCTCGTCCCTTTTTCTGCATCTCCCTCTCCCCTCCCATCCCTTCTCTCATCCCTCTACGACGTAAACATCACCGATTGGCTGGTCCTTGCAACAAGCGACGCTACGGTGGTGCAAATGGAAGAGCAATTCGCGAACGACGACGCTGGCGGTGGCCCCGGACGCACGCAGCACAGCCCAGAACACCGCGCGCCGACATCGACATCCATAGCTTGACAGCCCTTTCTCCTCCTCCCCCTTTTCGGCCCACAGGACTTGTCAGGACAGAGACCTGTCCTGACAAGTCCTGTCAATCATTTTTGTTGCATCCAGAGCTTGAGGCCACGACCTCGCTCACCTGGCCTGAGGTAGGCCAGGACACCTGTCAGCTGCGCTGGTCTGTCTGTCCACCGACTGCCGCCGCATTCCAGAGCCCTTCCGACGAGGTCCTCGGGAGCCTTCTGCGTAGGATCTCCGACACCGCGCGCCTCGGTCAGGCCCCCGATCGGCCCTCGGGGAGGCCCCCCATCGCCCCCCTCACCCCGTGGGGGGCAGAGGGACAGGCAGGAGGGTTGGGAGAGGAAGGGTCGAGAGAGAGGGTGTGAGAGAGAGAGAGAGAGCCCAAAGCGGTGGGGCTTCCTGAGTGGTGCTTTGATGCTTTGGGCAGATGCCATCGACACAGAGGCCCAGACTTCCGACGTGTTGATTTTTTCCATGCGCTGCCCCAGTCCCGACCGCTTCCCAAGGGGAAGGTTTTCGTCGCGGACCCATGTTTGATGGTTCTGGGGCCGTGCAATGGGCCCCAGAGGCCGAAATCGAGGAAAAATGCCCAGATTGGAAACATAATCTCTTCGAAGATCTGGGGAGAGAGCGAGAGGAGAGAGAGAGAGAGAGAGAGAGAGAGAGAGAACAACAAAATAACGTCTTATGCTCGTCTGTTCTCGCGCGCGAGCTCGCTCGGCAGGCAGCTGGCGACCGGCCGCGACGGCCGAGAGCCCGCCGTCGCCATGCGCGCGAACTCGGCCGAGCCCTCTGCTCCGACGAGTAACCCCAAGGTTCGGAGGATGCAGTTCGGCAAGTTCTACAGCCCCCAAGGGCGTCAGGTCAGTGTCGGGCGAAAGGGTAGGATCAGGAAGGGGGGGGTTCGATCTCTCAGAGGAGGGCGTGCTGCGATGACGGTAGTTGCCTTTGGGGGGGCCCTCGTCGCCACGGCTGGGCGCAGCTCGGATAATTGGTGCCTTTGGAAGCCAGGAGGGGTCAGGGGCCCGATTTTGAGTTCTCGCTGGCTCAACTCAGCTTGCTCCGAACTTCTGCTGCATGCAGCTGGTCAGGGCCGCGTCGCCAGGCGATTCCCTCGATACATTGGCGCCTCTGGCGCTGGGAGGCGCCGGGAAAACCAGGTGCGTGAGCTGATCAGCTAACCCCCCTTACTACCCCTCCTTTCGTCCAGCCCGACAGGTTAGGGTCCGGGTGAACCGTCACACGAACAAGCCGATCCTCTACAGGATGCACGTGCAGGAGGGCGACTTCGTCCAGGTGCAGAAGGGCAAGGACGCGGGGAAGGTCACCCAGGTCATTAGGGTCTACAGGAAGTGGAACAAGGTGCTGTGCCTGGGCGTCAACTTTGTGATCAAGCACGTGCGGCCGCAGCGCGAGGACGAAGTGGGCTCTCGCGTGCAGGTGGAACATCCTCTTCACGCCTCGAACCTCCTGCAGTACGACAAAGAAGAGGGGGTCGCGGGCTACCTGGGCATCCGCTGGGTGCCACAGAAGGTCGGCGCGGACGGGGGTGCAGTCTTCGAAGAAGTAGTTTCGCCACTCATGAGTCGTCAACGCATCCCATCCTGCAAGCCGCAAAGTGTTTGGCTAAACCAATTCGGTCACGATTGCGGTTCCCGATCGGAACTTGCTAGCGCATCTCTACGGCCGCACTGGCGCGCGCGCTTCCGCGCAGATCGGTCAGCTGGTTTGGCACCACTGATGCGGCCGCGATGGCGCTCACCGCAAGGAACCTCCCAGCGCATCTCAAAGGGCGCGCTGGGGCGCAGGGCAGGCACTTCCGTGCGGATCGGTGACCCTGGCGGGCGCGATATCATGATTGCATCGGCAACGGCGGCACTGAGGATGATGATCGCGATGGTGGTGGCGATGACGACGATGACGACGGCAAGGCCAATGCTGGCGCCGATGTCGCTGATGATGATGATGATGATGATGATGATGATGATGATGATGATGATGATGATGACAGTGATGATCATGATGACGATGATGGTGATGCTGCTGCTGCTGCTGCTGATGACGATGATGATGTCCAAATGTCGGTGCTGAAGGTGATTGTGCTGGTGTGGCTACTATGCCGGGCAGTGACAATGACGGTAAAGGCGGTGATTTGGTGGCGCTCATAAGGATGATGAGGAAGTGCGCGCGCCGAAAAGTTCAACACACATGGCATCAAACAATCAATTAATATGTGGTATGAATGTGTGTTGAACTGTTGTGTTTTGAATCGCTGCGAGAACCACTGGTATTGCGGTGATCCCGGCACGTGCCCGTGGCGGCGCACGCGCGTGGCCCGCATGGTATTTGTCCATCTGGAGTCGTGCACTGGTCGCATGCTGGACGGAATGTGTGCCGTGTGATTTCGGCATGTGCGGGCGCGCGGACTCGTGGATGATCTTACAAAACGAGCTCTTGAGATAAACGAGCGTGCGCGCATACCATTATTGGACAAGGATGGATGGGGGGCGGTGCCCTCTTGGCAAGGGCGGTCTGGTTTGATATGCCAGCGCGCCGCTTGTTCCGAAGAGCGACCTCGCGTTTTCGGGATTGCGCCTCGGCCACCAGGGCAAACTCCGCCTCGAACTCAAGGTTTGCTGTGAGGTTTGGCGCGGTGCCAGCTTCTTCTATTCGGGCGCGTTCAGAGCAAGCGGCGCGGCGACATGTCGGGTTGCTCGAGGTGAAGGACAAAACTCCCGACCCGCCTCGCACACCCTGCGTACCGCGGCCGCGAGGCTCAAAGTGTGCGGGTGCTCCCTGGGGATCCCACCTCGTGTCTTCGATGAGCGACGGCAGCATACCGCGGCAGCCAGGCCCAAAGCGTGCCGGCGCTCCCTGGGGATCCAGCCTCGCGTTATCGGGCGTGGATCGCTCCAAGCAGAATTTTGGCTCTTCCTTCACGGTCAGCGAGGACGGGGGTTGGATCTATCATGCGCGCTCCGCGCGTCAGGGAGGGGGGCCCGGCAGCGGTCCCAGAAATCCGCCCTGACCTTCGAGAGTTTAGGCTTACGTCGTTTTGTTCTTCCTCAAAGGTCGGGGCAACGTAAGGGTGGGACCGGCTCAGGGGGGGATGCGTCGACCCCCAATCGTCGATTTATCGCCGATGAGCCTGATAGCCCAACCCGCTCAGAAACGTGCGGTGTCGTTTTCGGGGGCCTATCGCCCACCTATCGGCGGCGTATCGCCGATTCAAGATCGATGTTCCCCCGCTCCCCCCCCCTGAGCTGGTTCCCCCCCTTGGCGTTGCCCCTCATAAGGTCAGCGAGGGCGGGGATGTGATCTACTACCCGGAAAGGTACAACAAGGCCACGGGCAACGCCATCCCGAACCGTGTCCCGCCCAAGTGGACGCCCGTGCTCGAGCGGAGCGAGGAGGAGGAGGACGACGAATGAGTGTGGCGGTTTCGTGGATCCAGCACGTCTCGGGAGGGGCTTGGGGAGCGGGGAGGATCAAGGTGGAGAGGGGGCCTCCTCCCCTTCCTCCTCCTCCCGCTTCCAGATCTGCAGCGGTCTGCTTTTGTCCATCGGTGTGGGCGTCGCTTCTGGACCTCGGCCCGTGGGGCCCCAGGACCCGGGACGGGAGTCCACCCTCGGGGAAGGGGGCCTCCCCCCGCCTGCCCTCGTCTTCGAAACAGGAGCGACGGATGGCACTGTCGGGTCTGACCCGACGATGCCATCCTGACCTGACAATGCCATTGTCAGGTCGACGGCCCCTTGAGGCCGAGACCTGGTCTCGGCCTCAAAGGGGCCGTCGCCGGGTCCCGGGGCCGTCAACAAAACGACGCGGGACGAGACGCCAGGCCCAGGGAAGTAACCCGAATCTGCGTGGGTCCGCGCTGCAAAAACACCAAGGCGTCTCGCCCACCACCGGGGTGGAGAAGTGAGGAGGAGGAGGAGAAGGAGGAGGAGGAAGCACAAGGGTTTGATCGACGGATCGCACTGTCACGTGTCACCCGTGTGTTGTTTCGCACTGTATGGCCCAATGTTGGCGTCCAGAATGTGACTGCTATATTTTTTCTCACACGGTTTTCGGGGTGACCCGTGCCACCCGCGTGTTTTTTTTTTTCACACTGTATGACCCCATGTTGTCGCCCACAATACGAGCGAAACAAATGGTTTTGCTCACACGGTTTTCAGGGTGACACGTGTCACCCGCGTGATATTTCACGTTGTCTGAACCCGTGTTGGCGTCCAGAATGCGAGTGAAACAGTTGTTGTGTCCCACGCGGTTTTCGGGGTGGCACGTGTCACCCGTGTGCTGTTTCGCACTGTATGGCCCCATGCTGGCGTCCAGAGTACGAGTGAAACAATGGTTCCCCACACGGTGCCTTTGGTGACACAGATCACCCGCGTGTTTCTTCACACTGTGTGGCCCCATGTTGGCGCCCACCGTACGAGTGAAACAATTGTTTTGTTCTCACGTGGTTTCGGGGTGACACGTGTCACTCGCGTGCTGTTTCGCATTGTATGGCTCCATGTTGCCGCCCAGAGTACGAACGAAACAATGGGCGATTCTCACACGATTTTCGGGGTGAGACGTGTCACCCGTGTGTTGTTTCACATTGTATGACCCAATGCTGGCGTCCAGAATACGGGTGGAACAACTTGTTTTCTCACACGGTTTTCGGGGTGGCACGTGTCACCCGCGAGATGCTTCGCACTGTATGACCCCATGTTGGCGCCCAGACTACGAGTGGGACAAGTGTTTTCTCACGCGGTTTTCGGGGTGACACGTGTCACCCGTGAGTTGTCTCACATCGTATGGTCCCATGTTGGCGTTAATAACTATGCGACCATCCTTCGGGTGATAAGGAGGTTGTGGGGGGGGGGGCAGAGGGGTAACCAACATCTGACTCAATCGAGCTCACGATCGATCTCACTCAACGGGACACCACGGGACACCACGGGACACCGCGGGACACCGCGAGCCACCGTCAGACGGACGGACGGACGGGCGGGCGGGGGAGAATCATGTGTTTTGACATCGCCCTAGCAACGGCGACACCACGGGGCACCACGGGACACCGCGGGACACCGCGAGCCACCGCCGGACGGACAGACGGGAGAGAAACATTTGTCTAGACTTCGCCCTAGCAGCGGCGGACACCACGTGACACCGCGGGACACCGTGAGGGCCACCGTCGGATGGACGGACAGACGGACGGGGGAGCAACATTTGTTTTGACTTCGCCCTAGCAACGGCGGACAGCAAGGGACACCGCGGGACACCGCTAGGGCCACCGCCGGACGGACGGACGGACAGACGGGGGAGCAGCATTTGTCTTGACTTCGCCCTAGTAACGGCTGGTTCATTCCTCTCGCGTGCCCACGCAGCTTCGCCTCGCCCGCACGCACGACACGAGCGAAACGAATCGATTTCCCGGTTGGGGCTCTCCGTTCTATTGTGATCTCATCCTCGAACCTCCGACTACGAGTGGAATAATTGTTTTGTTCTCACGTGATTTCGGGGTGACACGTGTCACCCGTGTGCTGTTTCGCATTGTATGGCCCCATGTTGCCGCCCAGGGAACGAACGAAACAATGGGTGATTCTCACACGGTGTTCGGGCTGAGACGTGTCACCCACGTGTTGCTTCACACTGGATGACCCAAAGTTGGCGTCCAGAATACGGGTGGAACAACTTGTTTTCTCACGCGGTTTTCGGCGCGACACGTGTCACCCGCGTGATGCTTCGCTTTGTATGGCCCCATATTGGCGCCCAGAATGCGAGTGGAACAGGTGATTTTTCTCACGCTGTTTTCGGGGTGACACGTGTCACCCGTGAGTTGTCTCACATTGTATGACCCCACGTTGGCGTTAATACTTATACGACCACTCTTCGGGTGATAAGGAGGTTGTGTGGGGGGGGAGAGGGGGAACTAAGATCTGACTCAATCGATCTCACTATCGATCTCAGTCAACGGGACACCTCGGGACACCACGGGACACCCGTGTGTTGTTTCACACTGTATGGCCCCATGTTGCTGCCCAGAATACGAATGAAACACTGGGTGGTTCTGACACGGCTTTCGGGGTGACACGTGTCACCCGCGAGATGCTTCGCATTGTATGACCCCATGTTGGCGCCCAGAATACGAGTGGAACAATTGGTGATTCTCACGCGGTTCACGCGCGTAGCCGAATCGGAAAAAGTGGTCAAGTTCAAGCCCAGTCCCCCACGCGAGCCCCTGGCGTGCCTTGCGCGGCGCGGGCCCCTGGCGTTCCCTGGTTGTTCTCACACGGTCTTCGAGGTGGCACGTGTGACCCGCGTGTTGTTTCACATCGCATGGTCCCATGTTGGAATCAAGAATGCGATGGAACAATGTTGCCTCACACGGTCTTCGAGGTGGCACCTGTGACCCGTGTGCTGTTTCACATCGCATGGTCCCATGTTGGAATCAAGAATGCGATGGAACAATGTTGCCTCACACGGTCTTCGAGGTGACACGTGTGACCCGTGTGCTGTTTCACATTGCATGGTCCCATGTTGGAATCAAGAATGCGATGGAACAATGTTGCCTCACACGGTCTTCGAGGTGGCACGTGTGACCCGTGTGCTGTTTCACATCGCATGGTCCCATGTTGGAATCAAGAATGCGATGGAACAATGTTGCCTCACACGGTCTTCGAGGTGACACGTGTGACCCGTGTGCTGTTTCACATTGCATGGTCCCATGTTGGAATCAAGAATGCGATGGAACAATGTTGCCTCACACGGTCTTCGAGGTGACACGTGTGACCCGTGTGCTGTTTCACATTGCATGGTCCCATGTTGGAATCAAGAGTACGAGTGGAACAATTGGTTTTTATTACCCTGTCTTCGGGGTGACACGTGTCACCCGTGTGTTGTTTCACCCTGGATGGCTCTATGATGTTGCCAAGACTACGAATGAAACAATGGGTGATTCTCACACGGTTCTAGGGGTGACACGTGCCACCCGCGTGTTTCTTCACATTGTATGGCCCCATGTTGCCGCCCAGGATACGAACGAAACAATTGGTTTTCTCACGCGGTTTTCGGGGTGACACGTGTCACCCGCGTGTTTCATCACATTGCATGGCCCCATATTGGCGCCCCGGGATACGAGTGAAACAAATGTTTTTTTTCTCCCACGGCTTTCGGAGGAACACTTGTCACCCGCGTGTTGTTTCACATTGCATGGTCCCATGTTGCCGTCAGGAATACGAGTAGAACAATTGTTTTTTCTAACACGGTCGTCGGGGTGACACGTGTCACCCGTGTGTTGTTTCACATTGTATGGCCCCATGTTGGCGTCAAGAGTACGGGTGGAACACTTGTTTTTTTGTTCTGACACGGTCTTCGGGGTGACACGTGTCACCCGTGTGTTGTCTCACATTGTATGGCCCCATGTTGTTGCCCAGTCTACGAAAGAAACAATGAGTGGTTCTCTCACTGTTTTCGGGGTGACACGTGCCACCCGTGTGTTGTCTCACATTGTGTGGCTTCATGTTGGCGTCCAAAATACCTCCAAAATACGAGTGAAACAGTGGTCTTTCTCACACGGTTTTCGGGGTGACATGTGTCACCCGTGTATTGTTTCATTTTGTATGGTCACATATCGGCGTCAGGAATACGAATGGAACGATTAGATTGTCTCGCACGGTTTTCCGGGGTGATGCGTGTCACCCGTGTGTTGTTTCACAGTGTATGGCTCCATGCTTGCGTCCGCAATACGACAGGAACGATTAGATTGTCTCACGCGGTTTTCGGGGTGACGCACGTCACCCGTGTGATGTTTCACAGTGTATGGCTCCATGTTGGCGTCCAGGTGCGAGTGGAACAATTGGTGTTTCTTACACGGTTTTCGGGGTGACGCGTGCCACCCGTGTGTTGTTTCACATTGTATGGCACCATGCAGTCGCCCACCTTACGATTGAAACCATTGGTTTTGCTCACGCAGTTTTTGTGGTGACGCATGTCACCCGTGTGGTGTTTCACATTGTGTGGCACCATGTTGGCGCCAAGAACACGAGTGGAAAAATTGATTTGTCTCACAAGGCTTTCGGGGTGACAAGTGTCACCCGTGTGCTGTTTCACACTGTATGGCCCCACGTTGTCGCCCAGGGTACGACTGAAACAACGTGTGATTTTCACACGGCTTTCAGGGTGACATTGTCACCCGTGTGTTGATTCACGTTGTATGGCTCCATGCTTCCGCCCAGCATACGAATGAAACCGTTGGTTTTGCTCACGCGGTTTTCGGGGTGACACGTGTAACCCGTGTGTTGTCTCACATTGTATGGCCTCATGTTGGCGCCCAAAATACCAGTGAAACAGTGTTCTTTCTTACACGGTATTCGGGGTGACGCGTGTCACCCGTGTGTTGTTTCACATTGTTTGAACCCGTGTTGGCGTCCAGAATGCGACTGAA